GACACGAACCCTCCAGGGCCCGCTTATTGGACCAGGGTGAAAAGACACAGGCTGGGTGCAATGGGATGGAGAATGCCAGTAATCTCAGCTACTCAGGAAGCTGAGGCAGGCAAATTACAAGCTCAAGGTCAGCCTAGACAAGTTAGTGAGACCTTGTCTCAAAATAAAATGAAAAGGGCTGGGGTATAGCTTAGTGGTAGAGCATTTGCCTAGCATGTTTGAAGCCCCAGGTTCTATCCCCAATATTGCAAGAAAACAAAAACAAAAACACTCCAGATATTTAGTTTAAATCAATCTCAATGTGCAATAGGCTATCCTGTTGCATGGGATGACAATACATTGGTTAGAAGGAAGAGGAGAAGGGAGGGAGGGTAGTGAGAGACAAAACCTGATCTCTCCTGCAAGTTGGAAAAGAGGGCATGTCTGAGAGTTACCTCCTCAGTCTTTACCCTCCTTCCCCTCCATCACCCTCTTCCCAAAGTGCTGGGTCTTCTCTCCCTTCCTGGGATTAATCCCACATTTCTCAGGATGCACTAACTAAGACTGATGCAGTTGGATGGCAGATTTGGGCACCGTATAAGCTGAAATTTTCCTAAAGCTAAAAACAAAACAAAAGAAGCAGTATCTTGCATACCTGCAAATATATTACGCAACCCAGAGCGACACCAGGAGAAAAGTTATCGCTAAGCAGATGTGACACACATCACTGCAACGAGAATTCAGGTTGATAGATGCCATTTGGGTGGAGGTGGCCTGTCGAAATCCATTGGTGGGTTGACAGACCCTTGGGCCTCTGGGGTTGGGGTGTACTTTTTGCAGTTGTCATGTGCCTGAGAGAAGAACAGTGGATCCAGTCTTGCTGAGTTGATTCACTGCATCCAGCAGTGTGCGCATTAGTCATTCCATTTTGAGGGGCCTAAGAGGAGCCTGGTTCTAGGCTAGGTACCTTATAACAACCCCAAACAGCAGGTTTGACCAGGCCCACCACTTTTTGCGGGTGGGAATTTGGGGTCTCAGAGAACTTAAGCAACACATCCCAGGCCAAGTCATACAAATGTCACAGTCCAGATTTAACCCAGGCTTGTGGGGTCCGGGACACACGGGCTGGGCAGGGGTAGCCCCTCCTCTGTGTGTCCCCTGGCTCCTTAACCCTTTGTCACTGAGTTCTTCCCTCTCTGCAAGCCATCTTTCCTGACCTGTAAAGTAGGGTGAGAATGCAGGGTAAGGCCTGCCATGGTGGGTACTGGGCTGCAGCCCACATCCTGATAACTCGAGGCTCTGTGTGCCTTTTGTGGGGCTGGGAAGAAGAACCTTCATGGCAGAGGAGTCAGCCCTTGATCTGCCGGTCTCTGCATCCGGTGGGGACACCTGGCTGCTGTCGGTCACCTCTGCATTTGAGTTAAACAGATGCCAGGCAGCTCTGAGAGGCTGTGCCTGTCTGCTGCTGCATGGTTTGAAATGTCACCTAATCTTATGCAGTTTTTCCCATGGAATAACTTTAACTGCCCTAACCCCACTTTACTTAGACTTTTGGTTGAGAGCTTGGCAAAGATGGTGACTGGTTTTTGTTTCTCTGCAGGTGGATCCCCACCAGGTGGCCGCTTCCATGAAGGACAGCACAGCTGCCAGCTGGCCGCTTTGCAACCATTCCTGCAACCCTCGTAGTGTACCCCAGGAAGCATGTTAATTTGAATCTTCTGAAGTCCAGAATCATAAGATAGGTAAAAATTCTCTTTGTCTGTGTCCAAATACATAAAATGCACCAAATAGAAGTAAGTTTTGGATGGTCTGCTGATTTGGCTTATTCGTGCATTGACAGGGATTGCTGGGAGCTGCTGAGCTGCTGGGGTCACACTGACCTGCCTGTGTGTGGAGGAATTCACTGTCCCCCTAGGGAGCTCTGCCCCAACCACTGATGGGGAGACCAAGTGACCTCTGCTTCTAATGGTTCCTGGCTTGGTATTTGAGGCTGCTAGACTCAAAGATTCTCCTAAAAAAAAGACCTGGAACACCTCTTAGCCTCTGGGGCTGAGCAGCAGCCCCAGGCTGGGTGAGCACTGTGGTCAGCACCACCTGTCAGGCCTCCTCGCCAGCCTCGGACCCCATGGAGCTTTCCCTTCCATCACTCCCAGAGGCACGAGTGGGAGAGGCTCCTCAGCTGTCAGCCCTTGTAGGTTTTGCTGTGAAGTGCTTTGGAGCAGCCTTTGTTGAGATTTGGATATGGGCAGAATCATAATTCACACCACGTATAAACCTACAAAGCAGGAAGTGGAGGTAGAGCTCCCCTCAGACCAATTCCTTCTTAAAGGGGAGGAAATGGGCCCAGAGGTCAGGCGGCTTTCAGAGCCCACACAGCTCTGCAGAGGCAGAGCTGACACTGGTGCGTGGCCTGCCTGACCCCCATGTGGTGATGCCTTCTCCATCCCATCTTATCTGTGCTGGGATGGGGGAAGGAAACTTCTCTGCCCTAGGACGCTGTGCCCAGGGCTGTGCCGGACACTTTTGCACCAGCTGGTCCTGCCTTCACAGCCTCAGCCCTTGACTGCCGGCGAGCCGTTGGCACACAGCAGAGACCAGCATGCTCTTCCCCAGGCACTGCTGAATGTGTCCTTCCTGTCCCCTTCCTCATTTGGCCTCCTTCACACTCTGAAACACCATTCAGCTGGGAAACTCAATGCTCCCCACCCACCAGGTGGGCTGCACGTTCATTGACTTCCGTCACAGGAACAGAATTTTCAGAACGCATCAGTAAGAGGTGTAAGAGGAGTTTTAGGCAGAATTTTAAAAGCACACACTCAAACAAATAGAGTTCATCCTGGAGAGAGGCACAGCGTGGTCTGGAGCTGGGAATATTTATGTTTTTGGTGGTGGAGATCTGTGGAGTGTGTGAGTCTACAGGAAGTTGGGGCTTGGTCTACAGGAGAAAAGTGATGGTCCATGCACAGGTAGAAAGAGATGTCTCATTTTATAAGGATGGCCTGTTTTATAGGAGGAAGGCAGGGCCCAGTCTACTGTGCTGTTTAAAGATGGGTGATCCAAGATGTTTTGCCTGAAAACATTCTTTGAAACTTTTGAATTTGTGTTTCTGACCGTTACTTTCTCAACTAAGCTCATCTGTTTCCTAATCTATCTTTAAGGGATTTGGGGCCTGAAAGAAGAAAGCATAACTGAGTTTATGGAGTACAGATGTGGGATAACCTTGGGGAACTTTGACCGAAAGTTGCAGTCTTCTTAAAAATACAACTTCAAAATTGCAAGTTTGTCTCCTTCCTACATTTTTATTTCTTCTATCCTAGCTCATGTTGATAGGCTAAACTGACAGGATTTGTGTGGTAAGTTTTCCTTGGGTTAAGGAATAATAAGTGGGTCACATTTACAGGCAGCTCTGAATACAGAAAGCACTGTGCTGAAAGAAAGGCTAGCAGGCTCTTCCGGGTGAGGGGCTCCTGCTAGGCACTGGGTATACAGTGCTATACTGTGGTTCACCCATGCTCTCCTTCAGTACAGCCTCTGAGGAAAGGGACCTGGGCAAACCCCTCAGGCTGGGCATCTTCTGTAGCACATCCACCTGAGAGATAGGCAACTGATGCTAATTTTTTAAAATTTTTACTGTTTTTCAGATCACAGAACCTATTGGTAACATCAAATTCAGTTCTGTTGCCCAGAACTAAAGTGATCTAGTCTATAACAACCTCGCATAAAAACATCCCGTGCCTCGGTGTCTTTCCCCTGGCACTGGGATGCTCCTGGCATAGAGACGCCTTCCAAACAGGCCTGAGTCTTGTATTTCCCTGCTCCGCCCCTCAACAGCCTAGGCCAGCAGGTGTCTTTGCACTCGATGTTAGGGTAGGCAAAGGAAGGAGGGGTGGGGTCTTGCCTTCCAAATGTTCAGGCTGAGATCTAGATCTCAACTTGGTTAGGAAGTGGCAGGCATATTAAAATCATACCACTTTCGGGAACCTGTCATGGAAATAAAAGCTCCCATTTACAAAGTATATGTAAAAGAACATTTATTGTACTATTGCTTAGAATGACAAGAAAACAAGAAAAACTTGAAAGTCCATCATTAGGGGGTGGTTTAAAAAAGTGTGACTTATCCACTCAGTGAGTCACACGGCTTTATAAAAATAATGACTTGGACCTACATGTAATAAGCTAGAAGGAGGCTTAATTGTTTAATGAGGAAAGCAAGTTTCTTTTTAAAAATTAGTATATGTTTATAATACATAACAATTACATTCATCTTGGAGAACTGGTGCATATACATATCGCTTCTTAATCATTTTTACTTCCTCTTCCTCTTGCCCTTCTGAGTAATATATGATTCCATTTCTATACAACATGTACTAACTACACACACACATACACACACACACAACTTACTTCCTGTGTATATATTTGCATAAGCAAAATTTTATATTAAAAACATCTGACAAAGTTTAAATTTTTTTTTTTTTTTTTGGTACCGGGGATCGAACTTGGGACCTTGCACTTGCGAGGCAGGCGCCGGAACCACTGAGCTAAATTCCCAGCCCCAAAGTTTAAATTTTTAAAAATCTTCTGGGAAGGGAAGAAAGAGCACAAAGTAGTTGAATGGTCCAGACAGGAAGTGGACAAATGGCAGCTGCCTCTGCCCACTGTGCACTTCCAGGTGGGGCCACCCTGGAAACGGCGAAGGCCAGCCCCGCACTAGGGATGCTCAAGCTGTGTCAGGATAGGGTGTATCGAGATCAGCTGCTGCAAAGCCTCTCACTTGTAAGTTTTTCGCAGGCCCAGGAACCTTGGGGTCTGGCTAAAGAGCGTGTCCCAGCCACATTTGACTGGAGGCTACCATGCTGCTGGTGTAGGACTTACAGCCTCCAGGGGCTCCTTGCTGTATCAATGGATCTTTCTTGCAGGGCTTACCTGACTATTAGCTATTGATTATAGCTGCATTTAGCCAAAAGAACCAATCCTTAAGACCCCTAATGGTCTCTGAGTCTATCAGAGCACTTGTTGTATTAAAGTTAGTTAAGAAGATGTGTGCCACCAGGACAGGGTTGCATTTTTTTTTTTTTTTGTCTTTTAGTCTAGAACGCTAGCACATGATTGGCTATCATTATTGCCATATAATGTATCATAGAAAAATACGTATTGAGTTAGTGCACTGGACTGATGGACTGGTGAGTGAATGGCTTCGGGGGATTCAAAAGAGGTTATCCATAGAAGATGAGCCTCTATGAGCACTCTGAGAAGGGAGAAAGGAGTGTACAATCTCCACTATGCAGAAAAATCTAATTCTGCTGTGATGACATTTTATAATATTTCAGTACCTTTGGGGCTCTGTTTCTGTACTTCCCCTTTTTCTAAAGAGGTTTGGGTCCCATCAAAGGCCATTGGGAAAAATATATGTAGATGTCTTTTGGGTCCTCCTCATCTGAGAGAAACAGAATTTGACTTTTTAGGCTCATAAAATGCCAAGGATTAAACTATCACCACAGAACTTACAAAATGCTTCCCAGATGTTATTAAATAAACAAACCACATAGCATTATATGCAACTCAAATCCTCAATGAATTGATTTAATCAAATATCAGAGCAAGGAAGAAATAACATTCCAATTTTAATGGCAAAAACAAAAAAGAAAAAATGAGGCTCAAACTGCTCTGCAGACACTCATGGCAGTCTCGCAAGCTGTTCTTGGGAATGGAGTTTAAGAAATACGTGGCCTTGGGTTAGGGAGAAATGGGGCTGCAGAGACTTCTGTGCAGAAATGCCCAGGTGTGTGGGGCTGTGTAGATGCCAGCCAGGTAGCTTCGGCTGCAGGCTTGTCGTGGTTCCTGCCTGGCCAGACACTCAGCACTCCTGGGTTAGCTGCCATAAGGTGGTGCCGGGTCGTGGGGCAGAGGCCTGATTCTTAGGAGGCTCAGATTCACTGCAATGAGCCCTGGCCCTGAGTGGGGGGTAGGAAGCCAGGTGAAATGTCCTGTATATGTCCCTGTGCTGCAGCAGTCACACTGGAATAAGCCGGAGTTCTAGTTCTCCCAGGCGGCATGGTCCCTGGCCTAGGGAAGCTGCATCCTGCTTCTGGGTCTCTAAATTTGGGGAAGCAGCAAAGAAAGGGTTGGTTGGACCCTGGAGTTGAGCTGTCACACAGTCTTCATGGTCTGGGGTCCAGCAGGAGGTGGGTGGAAGCTTAGCGGTCCAGTCTACCTCTTCACATCTTAGCCAATCAGTCCAGCTGAACCCTTTGAGCACCTGGAAACGTGCTTCGTCAGTGGCATCTCAAAAAGCTGGACAACTTTTCCAGTTCAGCTCTTTCCGATGGTCTCATTCCAACCTTCGCCTGCCAGCTCACCCTGTTCCACTCCGCGGCTCCCGAGAACGGGTGCTTTGTTAGGCTCAGACCTTTCTAGATGCGAAGACTTGGGGACTTGAGTGCTCTGCCTATCCTTTAGAGAACTTCTTCTGCAGTTCTGTAGTCTCCAGATACTGTTGTCCATCTGTCCTTGGCCATGACTACCCGTTAGAATTAGAGTCATTTGAACCCTGACACCTAAACTTCACTAAATCAGTCCCTGGGGACAGAACCAAAGCAGAATAGTTTCCTGTGGATTACACGGTGCAGCCTGAGTTGTTCCCTGAACCCAGGCAGCTTCTTGAGGGTTGTGTTACACCAGCAGACATCCTAGATTTCCATCCTGGCTCTTGACTCTACCCTGTGGGCAATTCTCCAGGTTCTGCTTTTTCCATTTGTTATACGGGGACAGTAATAGTACCTACCTCAGAGAGTTATTGAAAGGACTACATGAAAACATATGGAAGTCTAGAAGAGTCTATGATATGCAAATGTGCTCCGTGAAGTTTAATTCATGTGCCTAGGGCACAGCCTAGCACACGTTAACATACCATTGACAGGCATTACTCAAAGCATATTACATGTATGTTTAATGTATTTTGTTTTGTTGAAGGTCTAATATAAGAAAAATAACATAAGCAAGTTGTGACTTCAAGACTTCTTTACTGGGTAGCATCTATTGCCCCAAATTAGCCCACACCCTGGTGAACTCTCTGTGCCTTTGTCGCTCCATAAGTCTTCAAAAGCTCTACAAAAGTTCATATATATGAAAGCACCCAAAGTGACTAGAATACAAACTCGCCAGTCATCAGTCCAGTGTCTTTTGTTGCCTTTTGTCAAGCCTACATTGGGTATATAGAGATGTCCAGCTGGCTCTATGTGGAATGATGAAACCAATCCAACCAGGTAAAAGCATACGTTAACTGTACTGGTACAAAAGAGACGGACCAAGCCTGAGTGCACCTGGCCGGTGAGGGAACAGTGCTACGAAGTGCTTACTGTGTGCCAGGCGCTTTTCACACATTCCATAACCCTCCAAGGCAGTGTTCAAGCAATCTCCAGCTGTATGACAATGTAGTTTCTTAAAGTAAGATTATTTTGCTTGTGAATTTGTAGGTAGGAGGCTGCAGAGTGGGGCAGTAGCTCTCTGTCCCAAGAAGGCTCAGCAAGGGGCCCGGAGAGTCCACTCTCAACATGGCCCTCTGCGTCCTCCCCTAGCCACTGTGGGACCACCCTGTTGGCGAGGCTCTCAGACCCAGGCCAGTTCTGGGTTAGCCCGGTCAGAGTGGAAAGCTCTTGCCATAGGAATACAGCTCTCCATCTCAGCCTCTCCACTCCCCATTCCAAAGGGAGCCCTAGCTGTGCTTGGGGAGAAGCCAAACAAAGCAAAAGATTTCAACAGAGAAGGGAGGAAACACACCCACTGGGTTTCTCATAGCAACATAATCATGCACAGGCAGCAGCCTATTTCGGTGGGAGCCTGTTTCAGCTCCCTCCCCCCTGGTTAGTCACAGAATAGAAGGCACAAGCAGAAGGAGTGTGGGGTGGGGGAAGAGTGGGGCTGGGGCCTGGTGACCGGAGCCTGGTCTCAGATGCTCCCTCTGCTTGCTGAGGGACCACAGGCAGACATCCTCCTCCCTGATCTCAGGGTCCTTCTCTGAAAACCGGGAGAACTGGACCAGAGAGCTGTGGGGATCCTGTCTGTTCCGATTTCCTCTGATGATACAGTTCCGAGTCTTCTGTAGGGGACCAGGTGTCTCACAATCTTTTCTCTCCAAGAGGACGCTCAGAGGTTCAAGTAAGCAAACTAGATTAGGCCCCTTCTTCTCTTCCATTATTCTGCATGAGGCAGAGGGTAGGGACGGCTGGTGCTGCTGGGGCCTTTGGTCACTGGCCCCCAGCTCTACTCCAGATCCTAGTCAGAGAGAGGGGACCGGTAGGGTGGTGAAGGTGCTTCTTTCATTTGAATTTACCCCCCCCCCCACTCGTGAACTCAAGCCCTTGGCTGCTTTTCCCTCGTCCTCCTCATTCTTCGTCTTCGCCTCTCCCTGTCGCTTGCTTCTGCCTCCACTTACCACCAGGTCTCCTCTCTGCCCAGGACCAGGTGACGGGGCCCCTCTGGTGCTACGCCCGGTCCTGGCCCTTTTCCTCAGAGGATTCTGAGGTTAGCTGAGGACACCGGGCTCACACTTCCAGGCTATCGAGGGTGAGGACAGAAGTAAAGAGGGCGTTCAGAGCAGATCTCTCCGGTGAGGACAGCGGTGGCTGAGGAGAGCGAGAGCTCTCAGCGCCCTCTTCGAGGTCCCTGTCCTTGACCCGGCGGAAGCTGAAAGTGCGGCTCTTTTTGGTCGGCCTGGCCGGCCCAGGCGGTGGGAGCGAGGCGGTCCGCTCCGCCACCCGCCAGAGGCCGGTGAGAAGCGCTCGAAGTAAGGAGAGACGCGGTGTACAAAAATTCACACCTCCTGCTGCCGCCCAAACTCCCTTAAAAAAGGATCGAGAACCCTAATGGGTACGTGACACCCTCCCTCTCTCCCATAAAAGGGCCTTCAAAGCTGGTGGTGGAGGAGGGGCGGGAGGGGGCGGAGAGGCGGCGCGAGGACCGGGCGGCGGGCCGAGCTAGGCGGGCGCCTCTGTCCGCCCGCACCCCGGGGCAGGCCGCGGCCCGCAGTGGCCTCACCGCGCCGGGAGCCCCGGGCCCGGCCAGGGACAGTGCGCGGAGAAAGCCGGGCGACGACTGCAGCGGGCCAGCGGGGAAGGAGTTAAGGGCCCGCCCCGCCCGGACGCCCACCCCCGCCCCCCCGGACCGGCGTTCACCGAGGACGGAGCCCGGAATCGGCGGAGGAGCGGCTGAGGCGGAGGCCGGCGCGGCGAGGACCTGGCCCGTCCGCGGGAGCGCGGCCCCGGCGGGCGGAGAGCCACGCGCGCCCCGCCTGCGCTGCTGTCCTGCGCGCGCCCCGCAGCGAA